GGTATGAACCAGGGCTGGGGAACATGTAGCCTTTAAGCCACATGTGGCCTTCCAGGTCCTTGGGTGCAGTCTTTCTACTGAGTCCAAGTTTTACAAAACAAATCCTTTTATTCAGGGGATTTGTTCTGTGAAGTTTGGATTCAGTCAAAGAGCAACACTTGAGGACCTAGAGGGCCACATATGGCCTTGAGGCTGTAGGTTCTCCACCCTTTGTATGAACATTCAAGTCACTTTATTTAGATAATTCTAAACTGCTTCGCAAAATAGTTGGACTAATTCACAGCCCAACAGAACATTACTGTGTTTATCTTCCCACATCCTTTTGAACACAGATGATTCCCATGATTTTTCCTCTTTTGCATGATGAGAGGTAAAATTTCAGGATTGTATTGATTTGCATTTATCTTATTACTAACTGGTTTGAAGCACTCTTTTATATGGTTGGGTTTGCCATTTTTCTTTGAAGAACCATTCCTTCATTACCTTTTAAGTGTTAATCACTGGGAGAATCATTAGATAATGTATGTTTCCATAATTTGTCTATAGACAGTGTTCCAAAACTCTTCATGCAGCTTTAAACTTTAAGTTTAAAATTGCAGTAAGTATTTTGGGACACCATATGTATTGAATATCAGGTCCTTAGAGTCTATTGATAAAAAGTTTTGATCTCTCCCCTTCTTACCCTAGTTGCATTAATTTTATTAATGAAAATACTTTGCAATCTCATAAAACTGAAAAAGCCAATTTTATTTTGTAATCACCTGTATCCCTCATTTGATTAATAATTCATACCACATTCATCTATTGTTCTAGCTCTCTTCCAATTATTCCAATTATTATTCAAACCCCATATTCATTTTATTTATTGTAGTACATAGTATAAAATGGTGGTTCTAAACTTTTTTTTTTTTTGGCTAGGTAATGGAGTTAAGTGACTTGCCCAGGGTCACACGGCTAGTAAGTGTCAAGTGTCTGAGGCTGTATTTCAACTCAGGTCCTCCTGACTCCAAGGCCAGTGCTGTATACACTGTGTCACCTAGCTGTCCTTTAAACTTATTTTTTTCCAGACTACTTTTCAGTTTCCCCAGCAATTCTTGTTGATAGATCCCAATTACTTCTATCATCTTGGCATTTTGAAATGTAGCATTAAAGCTTAGTGAGAGACATAGCTAAGCTAAGTCATCCAAAATGAGTTTAAAGAATGACAATGGAGGGGACAGCTAGGTGGTGCAGTGGATAGAGCACCAGTCCTGAAGTCAGGAGTACCTGAGTTCAAATCTGGCCTCAGACCAAACACTTGACACTTACTGGCTGTGTGACCCTGGGCAAGTCACTTAACCCCAATTGAAAAAAGGAAAAAAGAATGACAATGGAAGAATCAAAAAGAAAAGGAAAGGTTGACTTATGGGGAAACAGTTTGTTTTAAATGCTAATTCAAGAAAGTGGAGCCTGTTTATTTCTAAAAGGACATATTTCTGTAGACGTGAACTAGAAAGAAAGCTCAAGAATGAGGGAGGGGACTGGAACACGCATACACAGAGGAGATGCAGCTGAAGTTATGAGCACGTTGGGTTAATAATACATAAAGTATGTGAAGAGAAAGAGAGCAAAGAGTGAGGAAAAACCTCAGACCTCATTTCAACTGCTCAAAAGGTGAAAAAGAACAATGACAACTACTGATTTATATACCTGCTTTCTCGTTTATATAAGATAAATTTTCTTAAGAATGCTAGACACAAAGAAATCAAAGCTATCTATAGTTATATGAAACAAAGCTCTAAATCACTTGATTAGAGAAATGCAAATTAGAACAACCCTTGAGGTACCACCTCACACCTATCAGATTGGCTAATAGAAAAAAAGGAAATATTAGATGTTGGAGGGGATATGGGAAAACTGAGACACTAATGCACTGTTGCTGGAGCTGTGAACTGATCCAACCATTTTGGAGAACAATTTGGAACTATGTGTAAGGGCTTTAAAACTGCATACCTTGGGATCCAGCAATACCACTGCTAGGTCTATATCCCAAAGACACCCATGAAAAAGGAAAAGAACCTCGTTGTAACCTACATCTGATTGCTTGTTGTCTCATGGAGATGGGAAGGGAGGGAGAGATAAGATTTAGAACTCAAAATTGTAAAGAAAAATGTTTAAGAAATTCAAAAGAATACTAGACAAATGAAAAAACATTCTTGATGAAGGTATCACTGAGGAAATAAATTAATCCTAGCAATCATAGAAAAAGGGACTTCAGAAACCACTGAATCCAGATCAAATGCAAAATTTAGTGCCCCCTCCACCACCACAAATCTGACAAGTAGTCATCTACCTTCATCTTGACAAAAATACCCAGTTAGGAGGAACTCAAGGCCATCCATTTTACTTGTGGACAGCTCTATTGTCACAAGGGTTTTCCTAACTTCAAACTTTCATTTATCTCTTTGCAACCTGCTCCTTCTTCTACCCTCTGCAATCAAATCAAGATAAAATTTTGTGCA